GAGTAAGAAAGATTGTACTTGCCACAGAGACAGAGAGTGAGGTAGGGTTGGGGTGGCAGGTGGGACACTGGGAACATGGTGGTGGGAAATGTGCACTGACAGAGGGATGGGTGCTTGAGCATTGTGTGACTGAAATGCAATCATGCAAATTTGTAACTGTATCTCACGGTGATCCAATAAAACTTCTTAAATAAATAAATAAATAAAATGTGAGATGAACAGACAAAAAATGTTCATCTATTACAAAATGTCTCAGTAATAACTCATTCATTAACATAAAATTTTAACAAATGTTATTCAAAATAATTTAAAATAAATTATTTGGAGATATTCTGGAAAAATCCAATGTGCACTGGGATATTATTTATTATGAAAAATGTTTTTTTAAACTTGTATATTTATATGATGAATGTCCAAAATATATTTGTTTCAGGCTGGAGAAATGGTGGATCAGATAGGACACCTGCCTTGCATGCAGCATTGGCCTGGATTCAATTCCTGCCATATTCCTGAGCAGTGCCAGAAGTAATCTCCTGGCACATAGCCTGGAGTAAACCCTTAGCACTGCTTTGATGTGACCCTAAAACCAACCAACCAAATAAACAAAAACAATATAACTTTCCTCAAACTTAGATAAGCTTTGAAAACTTTAGTACATTAAATTAAACATTTTGAATGTTAAAACCTTTAAACCGTTTGGAAAATGGGCCTGGAGAAATAGTACAGTTGTTAGAGTGTTTGCATTGCTCATGTGAACCTGGTTCCAAGCACCACCAAGTCATGTTGGCAATTCCTGAGCACAGAGCCATGAGAAACTTCTGATCATCTCCGGATGTGGTGCAAATTTCGTTTTTAATTTAGTAAATGCTTATGAAAGTAAATATGTTGCTATCAAATTTTCTGTTAGTCTTTCTGACACAGAACTCACAAGTAAATATCTATTGTATTGTCACATTTTGATTTATAATTTATACATGCATATTAATTAAACTATGTTTCGGTAATCAGATATAGTTTATATGAAATTTAGTTTTTTTAACATTATTATTATTATAGGTCCATGGATATTATGTGTTGAGCTGAAAATGTAGAATAAGGGATAAGGCACTTGCCTTGTAAGTAGCCAACTCCTGTTCAATCCTTGGACACCCCACGTGGTCCCCTTACCTCTGGCAGGAGTGATTACTGAGTACAGAGCTAGAAGTAAATCCTGAATAATGCTGGGTGAGCCAAAAAACAAAATAATACTGACTTTAAAAGAAAAGTTTTACTTTTCCAGGATTTGATCTTGAATTGAGGTACCTCAATATCTCAACATTGTAGGAATACATGACCAAAATAGTTACTCACAGGTAATTTCCCTATGAGACCTCTTTATTTTTGGCCACTATTGGGTATGTCAATAATTGCTCTTAGTGGAATATAGATTCCCTAAGGTCTATTCTTGGTTTCATATCAATTCCCCCTATTGCAAAAACTTCAGTGTTCAATGAATCTGAAAACTAGCAGCACCAATGCACTGTCTTTTGAATTTTAAGATCTATATTCAGACTTCTTGGATCTGTAAATTACTGAAAAGAATCATCATCTTGTCTTAGAAAACTAGTTAGAAGAATAAGAGAAAATTTTCAGAGGCAAGTAAATAACAAAAGACCAACTATTTCTCTTTCATATTTACGTGTAATACACATGATATATTATCTATGTAGAGAAAAATATCTTTGTTTTCTTTACCTGGTGTCAGTATTTTTCTAACCATTACAGCCAAAATTTTGCTTAGCATTCATATTTGTTTCCTATGAAGTTTAAAAACTCTGAGTATTATATTTAATTGGTTTTCTTAGCTCAACTAAAAACAAATTACCCTTTATAAGATTGCATGGGCTGGATCGATAGCACAGCGGGTAAGGCGTTTGCCTTATACGCAGCCAACCCTGGTTCATCAATTCCTCCGCCCCTCTCAGAGAGCCCCGCAAGCTACCCAGAGAATCTCACCCGCATGGCAAAGCCTGGCTAGCTCCCCATGAGGTATTTGATATGCCAAAAAAAAACCAGTAACAAGTCTCACAATTTGTTGTGAGACATTACTGGTGCCTGCCCGAGTAAATCGATGAACAACGAGAGGACAGTGCTACAGCGCAGTGAAGATTGCATATCTTACTATACGACAATATAATCTATGATATGCTTTGTGTGACATAAATATTACAGATCCATCTCTAACTGTAGTCTTATTTTTAAAACATATTATTATTTTAAGGGAAAATATTTTCTCAGAAAATGTCACTTTCAAGTATTGCATTTTTAAAATCTAATCTGGTATTATGAGGAGGTACATAGGAATTTTATGATTAAAAAAAGAATAAATGGAGGTATTGACTCTTCTAATTTTTCAAATGTGTATGTATTTTTAGGATATTTTTCAATTATTGTGATTTCATCTTATGCTGATATATATTTAATTTTTTTTTGTTTTGGGCCATACAAGCAATGTGTGACAGTGCTCAGAGATTACTCAGGGCTCTGCACTTAGGGATAATTTCTGGCAGCTCTGGGGTGCCTGTGATTGAACATGGGTCAGTCACATACATACAATGCAAGCACCCTACCCACTGTATGATCACTCCAGCCCCTAGATCTACATATGGCCCCCAAATACTTCCAGGAGTTCTCCCTAAGCTCAGAGACATGAAAAACTGAGAATCCCCAGATGTGTTCCCAGAATTCCTTCCCCCTCAAAAAAGAAATAATTTTCTACTTAAGGACACAGCCTTAATTAGAAGGCTCAATGAAACTAATTTTTCATTGACAAAATACTACAACAAATCAGAATTTTAAAAGTGATATTTATAGATATTTTATCATTTCTTGAAAGATATTAATATAGAGATGTTACAAAGTTGTTAAGATACAGTTACAAAGTTGTTCATGATTGGGTTTCAGTCATACAATGTTCCAAAACCCTTTTCTATTTACCAGTGTACATTTCTCACCTCCAGTCTTCCCAGTTTCTCTTCCAACACCCTCACCCTCAGCCTGCCTATATGACGGACATTCTCTCTCTCTCTCTCTCTCTCTCTCTCTCTCTCTCTCTCTCTCTCTCTCTCTCTCTCTCTATTTTATTGCATTGTGGTTTGCAATACAGAGAAGAGACCACTGTGGAAATGATAGCTGGAAATGATCACTCTGGACAAGAATTGAGTGCTGGAAGAAGGTAAAGGAACATACATAACTTTTCAGATCATATTGCAAACACCATTTTGATGCTTGTTCAAGTACTATTTTTCTTTTATCTCCAAATCCTTTTTTATTCATAAGTAGCCAGTGAAATGAAAGAATGGTTATATCAATTACATTTCATAATGGAACCAAACATTGTTTCTGTGTTATGTATTAAGTCACAAACATTTTAGTGCAGTGTGTTAAAATAAATATTTTGAAAACTTTAAATCTTTTTATTTCTAATGACACCAATAAAATGGTTTAATATGGCACTAATAGCTTATAGGTTATATAATTGCAACTTATAAGCTCTTTTTTTTCCTTTTTTGGGGGGGTTACTCCTGGCAGTGTTCAGGGGTTACTCCTGGCTCTGCACTCAGGAATCACTCCTGACGGGTGAAGATTGGGGGGACCATACAAGATGTCAGGGATCAAACCCGGGTCGGCTGCATGCAAGGCAAGTGCTCTACCCACTGTACTGCTGCTCCGGCCTTATAAGCTCTTTCTTAAGACATGTAATGTCATCTAAACCAGACTGCTCACTTTTGTGTGAGAAAAAGGTTGAAAGAAAATAATGTAAAACTATGTAAATAATATCTATAGTAACTATAACAGTATAATGATTATATGTTATAATATATACTTAGACTAATATTGACAAAGCATAAATTTCAATATGAAATGATAATATTTAAAATATATTAAACTATTTCTTTTTTGTTTGTTTTTGTTTTGGAGTCAGACTCAGTGGTGCTCAAGGATTAATTCTGGCTCTGTATTATGTGATACTCATGGTGAGGTTTGGTGAACCATATAAAGTTCTGGTGATTGAATCAGATAGCTACATGCAAGGCAATCACCCCATTTGCTGTATCATTACTCCAGTTCCCAATGTTTCTTTACTAATTTTACTACCAACATAACACAGGAAGGCTAAAATAATGTTTGTGATTGGGCTGCATCTTCCTTTTTAAAAAATCTTACAATATACTACTGAGAAGAAGATGTGTTTTTTTAAATTATTTTTAATATTTTTATTTAATCACCATGAGATACAATTACAAAGTTTTTCATGATTGGGCTTCAGACATACAATATTCCAACACTCACCCCCACTACCAGCCTGCTGTAGACCACTACCAGCCTGCTGATACTCTATATCAGGCGCCTTTTCTCTGTCTCTCTCTCTGTCGTTCTGTCTCTCTGTCTCTCCTCTGCTCTCTCTGTGTCTCTGTTTCTGTCTGTCTGTCTGTCTGTCTGTCTGTCTGTCTCTGTGACATTATGGTTTTCAATATAGGTACTGAAAGATTATCATATTATCCCTTTACCTCCTCTCAGCACTCAGTTTTTATCCAGAGTAATCATTTCCAACTATTATTGTTGTAGTGATCTCTTCTCTATCACAACCACCCTCTGCCCCACACACACTTGTGGCAAACTTCCAGCCATGGACCAGTCCTCCTGGTCCCTGTTATAAAAGAGGGTGGATTTACAGGAAATAATAAAACAATAGGTAATAACAAAGATACTTGATTAACTCTTGCACTATCTATTTTCTAATCATAGTTTTGGCAGTTCTAATTACACTTGCTTTACTCCTTGAGACAAATAATTCTATCTCCCTTCCCATCTCCCAGTATCTCTCTCCATCCCAAACAAATACCCTCACATCAATATTCAAGACTGCCTGCTTTCAAATGTATTACTAAATTTTATTGCTTCTCATCATCTAACATGTTTATTTTTATATGTCTCTCTTTTTCATTAGTAGGGTACTGATGATGATTAACGGGAGTCTAGCAGGTGATTTCATATTGGTGGGTTTCTCTGACCAGCCACAACTCGAGAAGATTCTCTTTGTCTTGGTGTTAATCTTCTACCTCCTAACACTTGTGGGAAACACAACAATCATCCTTGTCTCCTGCCTGGATCCCATGCTCCACACACCCATGTATTATTTTCTCACCAATCTTTCCTTTGTTGATCTATGCTTTACCACCAGCATTGTCCCACAGTTGCTGTGGAACCTCCATGGTCCAGACAAGACAATTACTCCTATAGGTTGTGCCATTCAACTCTATGTGTCTCTGGCACTGGGATCCACGGAGTGTGTGCTCCTTGCGGTCATGGCATTTGATCGTTATGCTGCTGTTTGCCAACCACTTCACTATGCTACAGTTATGCATCCACAACTTTGCCATTCACTTGCAGCAATAGCATGGTTAAGTGGGCTGGGGAATACCCTGATTCAAGGCACCATTACACTTAGATTGCCTCGTTGTGGAAACCGTAGAATATATCATTTCATTTGTGAAGTACCTGCCATGATCAAATTGGCCTGTGTAGACATTCATGCCAATGAAGTCCAACTCTTTATGGCATCGTTGGTACTGCTTCTACTTCCACTAGGGCTCATATTGATCTCATATGGCTTCATTGCCCAAGCGGTAATGAAAATAAAATCAGCTCAAGCGTGGCGAAAGGCACTTGGAACATGTGGGTCTCATCTTTTGGTGGTAACTCTCTTCTATGGAACCATCACAGCTGTCTATATCCAACCAAATAGCTCCTACGCCCGCAGTCAAGGAAAGTTTATAACTCTTCTGTATACTGTAGTAACGCCTACCTTTAACCCTCTCATTTACACTTTGAGAAACAAAGATGTAAAAGGAGCTTTGAAAAGACTGGTACTGAAGGATCTTAACAAGTCAAAGTGAAGATTCTAGTGAAGTAACCTAGCAGATCTGGCCTTAACTCAGGAAAAAGTGCTGAACAAAAGATATCAGGAGGTATTTTCTCAACAGAGTCTGACATATATACTGCAAATATAAAGACAAAAAAATATTTTGAAAAATTCACAAGCTACTGAAATGTTATCTTTCATCTCCTATTTGAATAACATGTTGTTATCTTTTAGCCAATTGGTTTACACAATAAAGTACAAACAACTCTTATTGTTCCCATAATTTTTATAGTTAAATTGTTCCCTCTCCATTCTTTTTCTTACATGGAACATGGCTTTTCCTTATTAAGGTAAATTTATTGATTTTTCTCCAAAATTAGTGCCATGCACTAATTAGAAAATATATTTTAATTGTTATTTAGCAGAGTATTTTAGAGGCTTTCTTATGTATTGCTTATCTGGATCTTGTGCCAACAGAAACTTATAGCCAAAAAGTGCACCTGAGATGGAAAACTGGACACTTTTATTCACCTTCTTTCGGCCACTCTTTAAGATGAAACATTCTACATCTACTTCTTTATAATGTTAACATCTCATTCATATTTTTCCTACATATATTTAATTGTATTAACAAGTAATGTGGTGGAATTTTCAAATTTTAGTTTTGAGATTTATGTTTTTGTGACTAAGTGATTTTAATTTTTAGTTTTTAAGTAAGCACTGTAATTTACAAAGTTTTTCATAATAGAGTTTCATACATAAAATGTTCCAACACCAACACTGCCGCCAGTGTCAAACCACCTTCTACCAGTGTCCCCAGGTTCCACCCAGCCCCCAATACACCTCTTTAACAGGAATATTTTAAGTTTTCTTATTGCAGTTTTGGTCTTGTGGTTTATATATGTACACATACCACATCTCTACAACACTAATGTGACTAAAGACCCTACCCCTATACCCATTACCCACTCCCTTTCATCTATTCTTAATCAATGGAATGGTATACAGCTGCAAGGAATTATGAAATTCCCTATAACTTGTATGGGACTGGAGAATATTATGCTAAGTAAGACAGAAGTAAAAATGCCAGATGATCTATTGTTATGTAATATATGGAATAACAGGACAAGGTCACTCGAGGTATCAAAGGGAAGATCCCTAGTTGATCCGAGACTACAGAAATAAGAAGGAAAGGAAGGGAAAGAAATCGAGGGGGATTAAGTGACTTTTTTCAGGACACCACTAATGTCAGTTGAAAGTGACAGTGAATTTGATTTTATTTGGGCAGAGAGAGAGAAATAGAGATCTTTTGAGTATTCTACCTTTATTTGTTTTAGGAGTAATATTTAGGGTAAAGTGCTCTTTAATCTTTTGCATCTGTTTTGACAGAATTACCTCTGCATTTTTTGTTTGTAAATTGCATATATGTGGTAGGTCCACTAATTATTAATGGCTGCAAAAGTGAAAAAAAGTTGGATTCATTTAGCTACACAGTTTGGTAGCTTACCATTAAACATGCTATAACCATGGTATTCAACAATTGTGTTCATTGATATTTAGTCAAAGGGTTTGAAATTTTAGTTCTATCTGATTTCTGTGAAAACATTTTATTAGGATTTTTAACTTGTCGCAAAGCTTGTCTCTTAAGACTCAAGCTTCTTTGTTTAGTCTTTTTGAGGCTACCCATGGCAGTTCCCAGGTTTACTCTTGGCTCTGTGCTCAGGAATCACTTCTGGTGGGACTTTAAGGAATCATATAGGTGTCCAGAATCTGTATCAGCTATATGCAAGGCAATTAAGAGACTCCCTCATTGATCTGGGCCCCGAGGCACAAACTTATGCTCATTTCTTTGAGAACTAGTAAAATTCTTTGTCTCTGACCTGCAGATGTGTATTTGGGGGTAGTAGGAGTCAGTAAGATATTAGACAGGATATTAAAATATTTTGTTTACATACAAAATGTTATAAAACCTTACTATCACCATTGTTTCCTAGTTCTTTATTTACTGAAGTATCACTTGTATCACTTGTCATCCCATTGCTCATCAATTTGCTCGAGTGGGCGCCAGTAACATCTCCATTCATCCCTATTGTGTGCTCGTGTAGTCCAATGGCACCTGCTCACTCCAGGAACACGAAAAGCATCAAACTGTTCATTCAGGGTCTTGACGAAGAAGTTCAACCATCTCGTAAGTGGGCAGCCAGGTGTTCTTTTGATGTCCCATGGAATCCAGCCGGTAATGGCTCTAGTCCAGTGGTCATCTCCAAATCACATTATGTGTCTGGCCCATCTGATTTTTGACACCTTGGCAAACGAGGCAGCATCCCTGATCCTTGATCCGCAACAGAGGTCGGAACTCTGGATTCCTTCTCTCACTTGAATGAAGCATGATACTCCAAGCATACTATTTCAAATTTTCACTCACTCTGTCACAAACTTCTGACTAGGGAAAAGTCAAGTTTTTTATTTGAGTTTTAACCATGCTACATGTTTTTTGTGCCCTGCTCTCAGACCATAAATTAAGTGGAAAGTGCATCTGTGTCATTTTGTTTTTGTTTTGGGCCAGATTTGGCAGTGCTCAATGATTAATCTTGGCCCTGCATTCATGGATAACTCCTAACAGTGCTCAGGAGATCATGTAGAATGCCCTAGATTGAACTTGGGTAGGCAGCATGTGAGCCAATCTGGGTCTCCAGCCATGCTATTTTGTGTGTTTGTCTCTAAACAGTCCAAAATCTACCTACACTTCTGTACACTTCGACAATTCCAAGTAAATTTAGAAAGTTTTAAAAATTTTTGTATGACTTATAGTCAGCTTTTATGCTTATTAAATTCTATCATAGAAGTGACATTATCATTAAAAATATCTCATAATACGAGCGGCTCTCCGGCACGGCCACCGCCCCGGAGGCACAAGGACTTAGCACAGAGAACCAGCCGCTTGGAGCAGAAAAGCAAACGGACTATGTGTTAAACCGCGCCACCAAGCCTGCCCGGAGGGGAAAGGGTGGGGTCCCGCTCGCCTGCTCCTCTCTGGAAAGAAAGATGGCGGCCGCACGGGAGCCTTGTGGACAGCAGGTCTGAGCCGGGCGCGGGGGGCAGCGGGGGCCTCATGGGAAGGGGGGCGTTCTGGGCCGTCCTTCACGCCCGACCGAGGTCACCGGCTGCCCCCCACGAGCGGCTCTCCGGCACGGCCACGACTCCAGAGCACAGAAACCAATCTCTTAACTATCTAACTTTGAATAGAAATACTTCCAGGGTTAATAAGTGAAACAGTAGAAATCCAAAACTGCGCGGCCGCTACTGCGGCCGCGCGACATCATTTTATTATACCAAGCTGTAGAAAGCAAATCATTTCACAACACTGTTTCAGCATATCTGATTGGGGGGGTTCGTAAACTCTAAACAATAATTGTGTTTCTTCTATCGAAACAATGTATCTAGTCAAAGTAGATAGAGTATTAACTAGAACTCATCTGCCTCACAGGAATTGGGAGGGGTGGGAGGTGGGGTTCTATTGGGGTCCACGGTTAAAAATAAGTATTGGTAAAGGGAAATGTGTTTGATACTTACATGACTGAGACCTAAACCCGAAAGCTCTGTAACTTTTCCCACAGTGATTCAATAAAGAAATAAACTATTTTAAAAAAAATTTTAAAAAAATATCTCATAATAATGAGCAAGGAGTGACAAAATTCTGACTCCTATTTACTTCCCATATCACATCTTTTTTTAAAAAGTAGTTTGAGGGAGCTGGAGCGATAGCACAGCTGGTAGGGCATTTGCCTTGCACGTGTCCAAGCCGGGTTCGATTCCCAGCATCCCATATGGTCCCCTGAGCACCGCCAGGGTTGATTCCTAAGTGCAGAGCCAGCAGTGACCCAAAAAGCAAAAAAAACTTGCCATCCCCCATTGCCACCCCAGATCAGGATTCTGTGAAACATGCCTGCTTCCTGGCTAAGCCTCAGTTCGACCACAGGATGCTCTGGAAGGTCTTGCCCTTTATCCTATGAACTCAAAGCATCTAGGAAATAGTTGGGAATCTTCACTTAGAGCTTGCCATCTCACCCCAAGATCAGAACACTGTGAAGTACACCTGTCAACTGGCTAGGCCTACCTCAGCACTGTGAGGCTCTGGAAGTTCCCAAGTAGTCCTGGAAGGCTCCAGCTAGGCCTAGGAAGGCCCTGGCACAATCCCATAAATTCAAAGCTTCTAGGTAAGCTACACTTAGAACTTTCCATCTAGACACAGATCAGGACCCCTTCAAAGTATGCCTTCTATCTGGCTAGACCACACTTCTGTCCTGGGAGGTCCCTGAAGGACCTGGCTAGGCCCCGAAGAACTTGTCCTTTGTCTCACAAACTTAATGCATCTAGGAAGTAGCTGGTGAAGCTGCGCTTTGACTTGCCATCTCTCACCAAGGTCATGACAATGGAATGGACAGCCAGTAAAACAGAAGAGGATATCAGAGCAGAAATGATAAAACTACAAGCAGAAATGACATAACTAAGTAATTTGGTTGGATAAAGGATAAAACCTCACTGGAAGACCTCAGCAGAAGACTATCAGAAACTGAAGACAAAATCAGTGAGCTCCAAGATGAGATGTAGAAAACTTCCAGACAATAGAAGAAGGTGTAAAAGAGATTCAAAGTAAATGAACAGTATACAAGAGAACTCTGGGATAAATTCAAGAGGAACATCATAAGAATCATCAAAGTCCCAGAGAGCCAGGAAACAACCCTAATGAAGTAGCAACAGAGATATAATTACCAAGAATTTCCCAGTGCTGAAAAAGTGTGTATGAACCCAGATGCAGGATACCTGGAGTACCAGCTAGAAAAGATCCAAAAACTAATCCAATACAAACCAAACTGAGAATAATTAAAACCATAGATAAAGACAGAATACTGAAAGCAGCAAAATCAAAGAAGGAAATTACATGCAAAGGATCATCAGTAAGATTTCCAGCAGATCTACCAAATGAGACCCTCTGGGCCCATAGACAACAGTGAGAAACAGTGAAAAAAAAAG